TTTGCAATCGCTTCTTAGCATACCTCAAATCAAAACATCCACTTAAATTAGCAAGAGTTAAGTCCATAAGCCTCACCTGGTGGTCTGAACCTCCATTAACACTAGCTTTTAGTCCATAATCTAAAAATCCATAGATCTTTCCCACGACACTACTATTAATGGTTGTCATAGAACCCAAAACTTCAACAAAAACTGCTGTGCAGAAGCTTATCACAGGCCTTGAAAAATTAAACTTCTTCTTTGGAGATGCCTGCACCACGATAGTTATCCATGTGACACTCACAAATCCCAGCAAGATAATCAGCAAATACTAAATCATTATTGAAATACTCACATAATCACATAAAGCCTCCAAAACCTCCACATCACGGATACATTGTTGTACTATTACTGACCTAGGGGGTGGTGCACCTGATACTTTAACACCATCTAGAAATTTCCATTTATTATCTCTGCATTTCCGACAGAAATCAGAGCTTATAAAATTTGTAATGCCATTGTACATATTTCAGCTGGATAACTGAAAAGAGAAAGGAAGTTTATGCTTTGCTCACCTTATGTTAAGTAGCTGAACTATTTTGACAAATGCATGTGTATCATGGTATGGAAGAGCACATAGAATCAAATCATGAACATTGCATTCGCGTTCATGAATCCTGAAATTCCAATCATTACGAAAATATAGATGAAGGCAACAGGAATATCTATATATTATACAAAAAAATGACATTTGAATTGAGCAGGTGTTGTCCAAGACAATACTCACTGATATCTTCTAATCAAGTACTCAAGTGTCTGCAGAGATGCAGGTAAATGGAGATAACCTGAGAGTAACTGTAAGTATAAACTAATAGATTCATCGATGCGACTGTTCTCCTCATTGTTCATCAACTCTCTATCCAATTCTCTAGTTTTATTACTAAACAAGTCATTTTTATAGTTCCTAAAACGCTCATCTGCTTTAACAAGTGCTTCAAGACCTGAAATTTGCATTACACACACCACATACTCAATTAAGCCAATTTACAACATCAACAAATCTGTATATGAATAAATACAAAAATCTTGCTTGAATTTGAAACACACTCATAACGACTTCAAGGTAAGTGAAGCAAAGATAAATAAAGGTTCAATTCTTAAACTGTAGCAAACTCAAAACTCTTTCGCTGAAAGATTGAAACTGTAGTAAATTCAAAACTTTATTTCTGAATGTGAAACAGACAAATAAGCCTAAACATGGAGTTTTTTTTTTTAAAAAAAAAAAAAGCAAAAATCAAGTCTTAGAACTGAACTAAGTTAAAACCAGTATCAGACGGCTAAGTTAACTGCGATAGTTTGCTTGCACTAAACACATGATTATTCGCAGACCACCATAAAACATATTCTGAAAGGACGATTTTCCCTGACAGACAAACAAACAAACAAACGAGTAACCTAGCTGACCTGAGAGGGCAACTCCCAAAATGGAGTCGATATCAATGTCGGCAGCATCTTTTGGACTGTAGAGAATGGACGGGCGAGTGAAGGGCCTCTTGATTGGGTCCGAACCAACTTGTACCGCGGATTTGATTCGTTGTAACTGTGAAACTATTGACGTGGCCATAGCGTTTAAACCTTTCTGTAAACCTATAAATCTATGGAGGATTAGACACCATATGAAGAAACCAATAGGGCAAACAATATCACGACACGCAAACAGGCGAGTAAAACAGCGAATACAACGGGAGATTGAGTTTACGCAGTTGAAGGAACTTGCGGAGGGATGAGACGCTTGCCGCGGGGAAGAGAAAAAGACTCGATAAGCTACAGTTCAATGATGCGTATGTTGCCCGACTCCTGAGAGAATTCGCGCGGATGAGACTGTGTGTTTAGAAGAGAGACGAGTGAACGATCGGTGAGAGCACCAAAGAGAGAAACCTTTTTATGCGTTAGAGAGAAAACTGGCAGGACTCGAACTCAGAGAGCAGCCGAGTAACAATAATGGTGGGGAGAGTGTTGGTAGGGATGGTGCTCCCGGCGGCTTAGCGAATGAATTTGGGTTTCTCTGTTTTCTCTGCGGTTGGAAGGTTTTAGGTACTAATACTTAAACCTCTTTAATTTAGGGCGGCAATGCGCTGAGCTGCCCAAACGCACCGTGTTCCTAGTTTATTTTGTTTAAATGCTAATTGAAATAATGTTTAAGTTAGTTTTAATCACTTTTTTTCTTAATCTGTGCACCTAATATATAAAAAAAAATATAATGTGATTAAGTTTTTAAAAGTAAAAAAAATTATATTTAATAAATTTCCTTTATTTGAATATTTATTAATATTATCAATATATAATAATTAAAATTATAAAGTAATAAATTTTTAAACAAATAATTATTTATTTATGTAAGTAAAATGGTATGACCATTTTTTATTTAAATTAAAAATTCAGATATTTTAATTAATTATTTGATTTGAGGGAATAATTTTTCAATAAGAGAGGCGTATAATGTAATAACTATTATATTACATATATTAATATGTTTTGTTTGTTAATCACAATTATATAATTAAAACAATTATAAATATATTTATTCATAATATTTTTTTATTTAAATCAATTATATCCCCAATTTACATTATTTATCCCTAACATATTTTTACCCTGAGAAATAATTTAATACCAAAACATAATGTTATATATGCATGCATATCTCAACATTCAAATATATAAAATGACTGTTGATATATATTTTGGTAAATTTTATTAATGAAATATGAAATTATTAAAAAATTTATTATAAATTAAAAAATTATATTCTTTTTAATTTTCACGTTTGTCTAGAGCAAATCTAAATTTTGTATTGAAATAATTTAAAAACTTGTACAATATTGTGAAACAATAAGTTATTATATATATATATATATTTATTAATTAGTGGGCCTATGCCTAATGGAACAGTTGAGCCCATATACCCAAGGCACCTTGGCAGATGCAGCGCTGTACTTTCCTTTTATAGTCAAACCTGTTCTTTCTCAATCTCCGTCTCAGTGAAAATTTTGAAAACTCCTGTCCACGCCATACTCGACTCTGGAGCGTCGCCATGCTCACTTCAAATGGTAATGATGCAAGAATCCCACGCATTACAGGAAGCTAGAAACAGTAGTCACTGATTTATCAGAAATCTTAACTCGATGGAGTTCACGGAGGCTTACAGGCAGACCGGGCCTTGCTGTTTCTCGCCGAACGCTCGTTACATTGCTGTTGCGGTTGATTACCGCCTCGTCATTCGCGATACTTTGTCGTTCAAGGTACTTCGAGTCCTTTGAATTTTGGTTTAGTCAAGCATTTTTCTCTCATCGTCATTCTTTGGACACTGAGGAGAAGGAGGGAACCAAAAAGGAAAAAGCCAAAAGAAGAATTTTATGCTTTTCTCCTCTGTCTACTCGGTTCAGATTTGTAGTTTTCTTGTTTCGAAAATGTGTAATTATCAAAAAATATGAACTGCAACTCTGATTCTTGGAGCTGCAGTACTCTCATTTTTATTATTTAGCTTTAATTAGCCAGTTAGATTGTTAATCCACTTTGTGAGCAATTTAGCTGAAAGGATAGACATTCAGAACATGGATTCAACATATAGGGCAATATCAACTTGAATATAATGAAAGGAAAATCTGGTACCATAGATTAAGGTTGATATTATATATGAGATTCAACATGAATTTTGATATCTGCGTTGCTCTATTTGGTATCTGGGAAAGGATAGAGAGCTTAGTTTTGACAAGGGAGTGATGGCTGTAATTATATAGTATATACAGTTTGGCAGAGTCAGGGGTATGGGCAATTTGATATTCTGCTTAATTCTATAGACAGAGTAACAGATGCATTGTGGAAAATGGCGAAGAGATAATGGATACAGGCCAAGTTTAGGCGCCATGCGGAAAAGGGAGATGCATGCTTGAAGGCATTAAAACAAAATCTGAAGTTGGAAACTTGTGCCACTTTAACTGTTTCTGGAATTTGGGCTGTTTTGTACTCTATCCAATAGGTTGTGCATTATGTATATAGAGTTGCTACTCAGGACCTTTTTGCAGCCTAATGGGGAATGTATCTTTTGCTTTGTCTGATGCAGGTTGTGCAGCTGTTCTCATGCTTGGATAAGATAAGCTACATAGAGTGGGCTCTTGATTCTGAATACATTCTTTGTGGCCTCTTTAAGAGACCGATGATACAGGCATGGTCATTAACCCAACCTGAATGGACATGCAAAATAGATGAAGGGCCTGCTGGTATAGCTTATGCTAGGTGGAGCCCTGATAGTCGTCATATACTTACTACATCAGATTTCCAATTGAGGTTAACAGTTTGGTCTTTGGTGAACACAGCATGTGTTCATGTTCAATGGCCAAAACATGCTTCCAAGGGAGTCTCATTCACTCAAGATGGAAAATTCGCGGCAATCTGCACCAGGCGTGACTGCAAAGACTATGTAAATCTGCTATCTTGTCAAACATGGGAGATCATGGGTATTTTTGCTGTTGACACGCTGGATTTGGCTGATATTGAATGGTCACCAGATGATAGTGCCATTGTAATGTGGGATTCACCTCTTGAGTACAAGGTAAACAACCTTCTCCTGCTTTACGCATGATTAAGGAGACATGTCCTCTATGTAATATTATATGTATGTTATTAGGTTACTTAGGCCCATTTTTGCTTATAAGTTATGGTAGAGATAATTTCTGACCTTGCTGATTTCCATTTTCTTAACGTGAAATCAGTGGTTGCACATTGTTATTTGATTAACAAATGGAACCTGATATTTACATATTCTCACAAGCTCTTCATTTTCCTTTGTCATATCCAAATCAACCTAATTGGTTTTTTTGCGTATCAATTTGTAAGAAAGTAGACTGCTCTTGCACAGGCTAATTTTTAATGTTCTTGACTGGAAAATTTCAAAAGCTTATGGTTGGTATGATTTGATACAGGTTCTTATATACTCCCCAGATGGGAGGTGTCTGTTTAAGTATCAAGCCTATGAGAGTGGACTGGGTGTAAAAACTGTATCATGGTCTCCATGTGGTCAATTTCTTGCAGTTGGTAGCTATGATCAGATGTTGCGGGTTCTGAATCACCTAACATGGAAAACTTTTGTTGAGTTTATGCACTTATCTACTGTTCGGGCCCCTTGTTATGCTGCTGTTTTTAAGGTACATGACTTTCACTATTTTCCCTCCGTTAGGTTGTTGGCTTTGATGTTAATCAATGGCAAATGGTTGACTTAACCTTTTGCTTTCTAAAATTTTCCAGGAAATAGATGAGCCATTGCAACTTGATATGTCTGGGCTGTGTCTGGATGATGACTTTATACAAAGCCATTCTGGTGAGGATGGTTTCTAGTAAGGTTTTGTAATGACCTTCCTTCCTGCTAATCTTTTATGGCCTATCCATGAATTTAGTGACTTTGTGATGTAGGATGATGAGAGTTTTGAAAGAAACAAAGAAAATTAAAACAAGAAAAAAAGAACAAAATTTCTGAGTCTCAAGAGGTAATTCTGAATTCTGAATAATGTTTGGATAATAAGCATACAAATCAAATCTCAAAGAGCTTTAGGTATGGACATTAACCACATTCAAAAGAGGAATATAAAATTGTCGTTAGAGAATATGAATTCCTAATAGGATAAGCTAGGATCGGAATTTGCAACTTTTAGACTCGAAAATACACAAAAACTTACTAAATATTTCTAACCTGTGAACTATTTGATATGTCCTAAATAAGTTAACTATTCACAATATATAAAAAATGAAAGTTACAAACTTTGGTAATATTTCAAAATATTACAAATCTTCCATTTTACTGTTTAATGCCCTACGTTATACTCCTTGGTCATTTGTTTGTCTGTTCTGAACCTATCATATGTTATCATGCAAAGATGCTTCTGAAGGACACTTCAGAGTCAGATATGAGGTTATGGAAGTTCCCCTCACTCTACCTTTCCAGAAGCCTCCAGCAGACAAACCTAATCCTAAACAAGGAATTGGTCAGTTGTAATTTACTGCAATGGTGCAAATAAATTTCCTTTTCTCATTTTTCATTGTATCTAATGAAATGTATCCTCAGAATACACCATTTTGAAGAATATGGTAAAAAAATAAAATCAATCGAACTTTAATTGCAGGTCTTCTGTCTTGGAACAAAGATAGCCAGTATATATGTACTCGTAATGACAGCATGCCAACCACTCTCTGGATTTGGGATGTACGTCACCTTGAGCTTGCTGCTATCTTGGTCCAGAAGGATCCTATTCGAGCTGCTGCATGGGACCCAATATGCACACGTCTTGTTCTTTGCACTGGGAGCTCACACTTGTATATGTGGACTCCATCTGGTGCTTACTGCGTTAGTAATCCACTTCCACAATTTAACATACTTGATCTCAAGTGGAATTCAGACGGGAGTTGTCTTCTTCTAAAAGACAAAGAGTCATTTTGCTGTGCTGCTGTACCTCCTCTGCCAGAATCTAGTGAATATAGCTCGGATGATTGAAGTATGTTTTTCCAAAATTGTCAATTGGATTGGAATTTTATAAAAAATCTTGAATTATGCCTGTTTGATAAGTTGGACATTCCTCTTTTAACTTTTTGTGTAAGTAATTATGTCATTCAGTTGTTTCAAATTACTTTATAATACAGTTGTTCTTGAAAAAGAAATTAAAAGGTTTGCACTATAGAGTGAGTGTTGCTATCCTATTTTTAGGATGATGATCAACCCAATAGAAATTTTAATCTTTGAATTTTGAAACTTGGACTTATCTAAATTTTAATGTAAAGAAAATCAATCTTAATACATATTGAATTCAACTGAATTCTATCTTTTGTGGTTAAACTGATAGCGCTAGCATGGCATGAAAGCCTTTGCTCTTGAGGAGTAGGAAGTTCTTTATCTTTTGTAGCACTTTCTTTATTTTTGTATGACGTGAGTTTTTGGATATTTTTTTATTGAAAAAATAAAGAAAAAATTTTCTTTTGTAGCACTTTCTTTGTTCTTGTGTTACGTTAGTTTTTGGGTATTTTTTTATCGAAAAAAATATTAGTGTCGTGTTATGTCATGTCATATTCATGTGTGCCTATCAAATACATTAACCATCATTTATGTTCATTTAACTTCCAGCATGAAGCAAGAATGATTTCACCACTATCTCTCCTCTTATAACATCCCTACTATTATATCTGATGAGGGCTGGCAACGAGCACCTCCTCATAACATCCCTACTTCTATATCTGATGAGGTTAGGCAATTAGCAAAACATGCTTGTGGATTGTTAAGGTTGATTGTATTTACATTTCAATTTAGATTTGATCAAAATTGAAGTCAGAGTTATTAAAAAAAAATTCTTTAGTTAACAAAATTAAACTTTGAGTCTCAAGGAATTAAGATAAGAAATTTATAAATGCATTGATTTGTCTATTAACAAACTAAATACATAACATTTGTAATATCATAAATTTTTGAAGTTTATTAGTATTTTATTCTATATTGTTATTATTGAGTTGCGAATTTAAGCTTGTTCGAATTGGGCTCCTTAGTAAGTTCTTTTTTCATTTCTTTTATTCCATATTCAGTAAACTCAAATTTAAAATAAAACATTAAATGAATTTCAAACTCAGTTTGAACTGTTATGAATTTATAATTATTAATATAAAAAATTTGTATTTTAATTAAAAAAAAGTAACAAGAATATGCTTATTGTGAGTATAATTAAATGCATAAAAAAAAGTAACAAGAACTATTATGATAATAAAGATATTATCTAATATTATATATAATAAAAAAATATTTCTAAATGTCCAGCTACATTACACGTTCAACTATAATAGTAATACTAAATTAATAGTTTAATAAATAAAAAGTCTTTGGACTCTACGATTTTACTCAAATTACCTATACATACTTTTTGTATCCAAAGAAAAATTGTATTTTCAAAATTTTTCCAAATTTAAATGTTCATATTCACCATTAGACTTTATGCTCATATGGTTATTTCTGGTTTTAAGTAAAGGTTTTTTTAGTTAAAAGTATCGATGTAGCATCTATGTGAATATAATGAAACGTAAAGTCGAGGTTTAATAAAAAGAAAAAGAAATCGTATATAATGTATATATGATGAACCATTGTCATAATAATTAGATAGTCATGTGAGTATAAAGTTTGGTACTGAATACAGACATTTTAATTTAGTTGGTATGATTGGATACAGATTTTTATAAAGTTCCCAAATAGGAGGTGTCCGTTTATGTACCAAGCCCGCAAGAGTGGACTGGCTGTAAAAATTGTATCAGACTCTCTCTATGGTTAATTTCTCGCAATTGGTAGTTACTATCAGATGTTGCGGGTTATGAGTCCCAAACGTTGAAAACTTTTTTGGAGTTTGAATACTTATCTACAATCTATGCCCCTAGTTATATTGGATTTTTTCAAGTGACGACTTCTTACTATTTTTCCTCTCTGTTAGTTGTTGGCTTGCATGTTAATCAGCATCAAATGATCGACTTTTAACCTTTTGTTTTCTAAATTTTCAAGAAGTAAATGAGCCAATGCAATTTGATATGCCTGGTATGTCTGGATGATGACTTTAGACAAACCATTCTGATGAGGATGGTTTCTAATATGCATTTGTAATAATCTTCCTTCTTCTGAATCTTTTATGGCCAATTTATGTATTTAATGACTTTTTGGTGTAGGACGAGAGCACTTTGAAATAAACTTAAAAAATTAAACAAGACAAAAATAATAGAATATAAGTCCCAATAAATTATTCTGAATTCTCAATAATGTTTGGATAATAAAGATACAAATAGATTCTCAAAGAGTTCTACGTTATGGGCATTAAAAACACACGAAAGAACCAAATAAAAGTGACATAAGAAATTATAAATTCCTAACGTGACATTATGCTAGAATCACAATTTGTAACTCTTAGACTCGGTTATACACAAAAAACTTACTAAATAGTTCTAATCTGGTAACTACCTAATATATCCTAAAATAAGCTAAATTTCATAATACGTAAAAGATGA